GTGTTACTTGTGTCCAAACACAAGGTGGTTTGACCATGTATTTTTCTATTTCAGTTGGATTACATCAAGGTCAGCCTTAAGCCCATATCTTTTTGCTTTAGTCATGGTTGTATCTTGATGCATGCTTTTTGCTGATGATATTCTTCTTGTTGATAAGATCAGAGAGGGAGTTGAAGGTAAACTTGAATTATGAAGGTAAACTTTAGAGTATAAAGGCCTTCTAGTGGGGTGATTGTGACTTTGGATGATCAAGTCATTACAAGAATAGCCCTTTTTAAAAAATAAAATTGTTGAAACCAAACTTGGTAATGGAGCTCTCTATGCAACTCATTTTCAGCAAGCAAACAACTTAAAGGAGGCGTACATTTTAGAAAAGTAATCTAAGGAGGAACTGGCTGATATATTGACCATACAGTATGGGCTTAATTAGGATGAACTTCAGCGATATGGTGAGGACAAGCTTGATCTTTGGCTAAATTCTACATAAGAAATTTTGTTAACTTGAATCCTGCTATGACACCCATCCTCAAACTAATGGATAAACAGAAGTCACACAAAAAAAAACGTATTTTGAATGTGTTGAAAAGAAACCTCTTAGGCAAACAAGGACTATAGGCAGATGAAACCCTTTCTATCCTTTTGACTTCTATATAATTGCTTTGAGGCTCTGAAGATTAATTGAATTAAGATTGGGCTAACTGGGTTTAGGCCAGGGAAACTAATTAGTCTCATACTAGAGGAAATTTATCAAGATTTTGACTTGACTAGGGATGGGACGAAATAGGGTAGAGGCAAGCCAAGTTGACAAATATGTGAATAATACCAAGCGCCGTGATTTTAAAGAGGTCCGGATTTAAAACACATAAAAAAATCTTAAGATTTTTTTTTTTTTTTGTATAATCCATAGATGAGACATACATCAAAACAAATACAATATCAATTTAACTATTTCAAATAAGTATGACAAACAGACTCTTTTAGATAAGCAACTTATGTTCATAATAAAAATAAAATTTAGAATGAGATCATTTCAGGTTTCAATGACAGCTTTACATAAATGCAGCAACTACTATAAGGTCAAGTAATATTTAAAACCAACGAAAAAGAAGGAAGAAATTTATTTTACTGGAAGATCAAGAACAAGCAAAGTTTTCAAAGTTACTAAAACAGATATTAGTTTCATTTCAGATGGAATAAAACCAGAGGATTACTTGCATCGCCAATTGAGATAGCTTGCCGCATAGGAGCGTCAACTGAGATAAACAAAAACCATAAAAGCGAGGTCTAAGGCTCCCCGCCAAGTTCCACTCTCAGATTATCATAGGGGTAAACTTTTGGTGCCTGCCAGAAAGTACAAAAATCAAGCAGCTTTAGCAGATAGCTTGATCTCCTAAGTATCTTAAATCTCAAGAGAATTTAAAGTAAGATCAATCTTTCCATTATCAAAAACCTTAAAATATACTGTATTCAAGTCCTCAATATAGGAAAAGAACTAAATAATAAGCACATTGTACATGAGCTTGCTAGAGCTCCCAACAAATTTTCTTTTAAAAACGGGCAAATGTGGTTGTTTTTAGATAAAAAATATGTTATAGAGGATGAATTTTTATCTTCACTAATTTTTACTTTAGATGAAATCATCGCATTTGAGGGGAGTTTACATGATGAATTTATCAATTTTCAAAACATTTTATAACTAAAAGCAACTGGGCTCTTAGTACACCATTTTAGAAAAAGAAAATATTAGCAAAAAATTAACAATAAATCATGTATAAAACTTAAAAGCTAGAAACATCAATATAATATATGCTACAAATAATTATTAAAGAAAATATATATATTAGTCACATGAATGAAAAGATTTTAATGATGAGGGGCAATTACTAACAAGTACCCCGCAACTAAATGCAAGGGCTAAGTATGATATAATCAATAAGAAAAGGCTACTAAGAAGGACAGCAATAACAACGTTGTACTCTTATTAACTATTGGTAAAATAGAAAAATCTACGATTCCCTCATCTTTGTTAACAGACTAACAAAGATTTTAATGCATGAACTTTTTTGGTGAAGGGCAATAACAAACAGTTTTTTAGTACAAAAAAAAGAAAGCCACCCCAAACAAAGATTAAAGTTCATTCAGGTTTTACTTGTTAACGGACTAACATGTATGCATATTCTTTTAATTGGAGATCTAAATACATTAAACTCGCCTCAAATGCTGCATTCGCAAGAAGCATAATGCAGGGTTAATCCAATGATAAATCCATAACAATCTTTATGGATGAATGGCCATAGATCAACCACAACAAAGACCTGAATAGTTTATAATGCCCTTCACCAAAAAAGTTGTTAGGTAAACTAGGTGATGCAAACCTGAAAATCTTGATAAAGTGGAAAAGCAGATTATATGTATTAATGTTATTTTATTAATTTGGTTTTTGTTTAGGGTTTAGTTTGAATGAAAAACATGTTTAGGATGATGATATTAAAATGGGAATTTAGATTACCTCTTAAAGTTTGTTTTATTACTCCAAGTCACTTCAATACAACTCTTATATTCCCTACTCAATCCTTTCAAACTCACAACTTCAATAAATATACAGCCCTCTATTTTTCTCACTCAATCTACTTGTTTATCTTATATAACAAAGCATGGTCTAATGTAAACCTTCTAAGACATTAAGTTCATTGTGCATGTGTGTGCACACGCGCATGTTTTTTTTCCCTTTTTTTGTGTTTCGGGAATTAGAAAATGATCAGAACTCCAAAGTTGAGGGCAATCTGGCTATTTTCAAGTGGTTCCTTTCTCAGGACTGACGCTGTGTGAATTTATTCCACCTACTGGCATTTTCTTATGTGGTAGCAATGCTCAATTATTGATTTCCTCCTTTTTGGTGTCTACTATAGCTGGAACTGCAATTGTTGGAAAAAGAAAATTTATTATTTTAGATGAAATTGAATTTAACTTGTTATTTTTGTTGGAATCCAAGTTCTTCAGTTGAAACTTGCAGTATCAGGCTAACTCTTGGACGATTACAAGGAATTGCTTATTTTAAAATAGGAGTATGCTCATCAGGCATATAAAAAAACTAAGCATATAATGGTGTAATAAAATTTATATCACTCAAATACTTTCTGTTGTTGATGTGAATTGTTTGAGGACTTTATAAAGCCTTAACAATAACTTCCAAAGGATGATTCTCCTTGTACTGGTGTGAGGTTTGGTTTTCCAACTTTTAATTTCTATCCTTAATTTTTATTCTAAATTATTTTGTAATTGATGTGTGTGAATAATTACAATCTTGCCCAATTTAATGCTGCAAAATTTTCTGTCAAGTCCCACAAAATTTTGTAATTATCATTTAGTTTATCTTGTCTTAAAAATAAAAATTATATTTAATAAAGGATTAGGATGAAGCTAACAATATTTATAAAATAAGAGGCCAATGTGATGTAATAAGGTCTCTCTTTATATATCTATTTGTTACATGCAACCCTAGGTGATGGAGGCACTAAAACTAAGAGCAAGATATAATTAAGAGTTACTGAGAAGGGCAAAAGAATCAAGGAGGAAGAATCTAGAGTGGAGAAAAGCATTTGCAAAAGAATACTCATCATTCTTAAATTATTAATACCTAGTTTATTTCTTCATATTTCTAATATGCACATCCCTCATTCAACATGCTGCACAAAGGCAACCATGGATCAATTAGATCAATTGTCATGGGTTGATAGCAAGTCAAGTTTCACTCAATTTAGAGTCATGGGCTTGTGGCTAATTTCTAGAGGGAGGTGGATCATCTAAATCTAGGATAAACTTGATTAGAAATCTCATATGAGCTCTTATTTATAGTGATCATAGAGTATAACAACTTGCGAGGTTTAGCCACCTACCTCCAATCTAAGAAATAGAGTATCTTTATCCTTATTCAACAATATTAATAATGAATTAAAGGGATAAATTCCCTTGCAATATAAATAAATAAAAAGGGCATATCACAAGGGTGACCATCCACTACCACTATCATGATAGCAGTGGTTGGCCACATGGATAAAGACGGGCTTGCAGAGATAGCACTGAAAGTGGCGTGGCACCTTTTGATGCCAGCAAACCCATGTAGTCTTTATGTAGTTTTTTATGCATCCTTTCATGTAGCTTTGAATATGATTCCACATGGGATCAGCTCAAGCTAACATAATGCATCAAAGGATTAGCCTAGATAGCTTAAACAGAGTGTCAAGTTAGCTCATGATAGTTTGTTCTTATGAAATTGAACTAGGGCAAATATTTTGAATAAACTATGCATAAAGTTCAATTATGGATATTTAAAATGTTAACTATAAACTTATTGGGTTCCTATTGACATAACAACCAAACCAATGGAGAGCCTCCAACTTCACATAGCCAGAACTGAGCTTCGTTGTGATACTTTAAGATGTTGAGTATAAATCTATTAGGTTCCTATTGAAGATGGCAAGATTTACCCAAGATTAAACAAACTAAAGGCAACCTTCAAACTTAAAGTTTCTATTGTAGCGTATGATGGTTAATAACATGCACCCCCATTGATGAAATGGTAATATTTACAGTTGCAATATGATTTCTTGATGATTGTTTATCCAAAAGGGTGTACACTTTCACCATCTTAGAATTGCTTGAAGAAGCATGAGATTTTCAGGATAAAGATCCTGGTATATTCTATCATAGTTAAACAAATCAATATCATGCTGAATACTAATTTGCAACAAGATAAAGCATTCTAAATATAGAAAAAAAAAAAATCGGAACAAAACAAATGGTATTTAGCTCAACCAAAAGAAGATATTATAATAGCTTTCTTATCCAAATGTCTTACAAAGGGTATCTTCGAAGCCTTATCATTCCAGACAGCAAGCAAACCGATGGCAGCAAAGAATCCCAAGCCACCACAAAGCCATGCCAGAGATTCATACTGCACAGCAATTCAAAACAAGAAGAAAAAAAAGAGTAACCCAGTGCACCAAGCTCCCTCCAGTGGAAGGCCGAGAGAAATTCAAAGAATATAATATCACAAAATCCCTAAGGAACCAAATACTCGAGTTTGATAGCAGGTTCTGTGGTAGCCCTGAAATACCTTGCCAATGCTTGGAACGAGGCGATCGATGCAGGGCTCCGGGAAGGGCGTTCCGTTGTCCCATACTAGCTCGTCTTGCTCCGGTAGCTAAATAAATAGCAGAAAAGGAATCGATGAATTCAGAGAAAAAGTGATCGAGAGAACAAGATTCGGAGTGAGCGAAAGCGGGTCCTTACGGGTTTGTCGGGAACGATGTGCTTTCCCACGGGAAGACCCATGCCGGAACGAGTGGGGAGGGAAAAGGCAACGGATCGGCAGACGCCGCCGCCGCCCAACAGTCGAGATGCGGCCGTGCTGAGTCTCCCAGCCATCTCCCTACGCTTCTCTCTTTTCGCTGAATCGCTTGAGAAATCTCGAACCTGCAAAACAACGAGATGGACCTGTAAACTTTTCGAGCGCGGATCACATTGGGTTTGGCCTATAATCGACGGCCGATTATAGTATCTTTTATTTTTCAAAATAGCTCATAAAAAAAAAGATTTTTAAGTTTATAAATACTATAATATTCACAATTAAAGAAATAGATTCAAAGTTTTATTTTTTAAGAAAAAAATATCCAAATATTTATTTCATATTAAAATATCCTTACTTGTACAAGCAAACATCAATACTTATTTCATATTAAAATATCCTCACTTGTACAAGCAAACATCTTTGTCACATGTGAAATTGATTTAAAATTATTGGAAGTTGAACATATTCAAATTTGAAATTGAACAATAATGTTCAGATAACATCGAAAAACAAATGTGCTCAAAATTAGAATCAAATGGTGATATCGATGTTTATGGTTGAAAATTTAGAAGGGTGATCATAGTAGAAATATGACAATGGGAGCGACGGTTTATAATAAATGATTAGATATTCACAATGAGAGATCACTTGGGGTTGGCATTGATAAGTTCAACAACATGTCAGGAAAGAGGCGTTCACAATAAAATCTCTCTAGGGGAAGGAGTGTTGGATTTAGGAGGAGTAATTTTACCACTACGGCTTACTAGATATTGGAGAAGTCATAGACGACACGTTATAAGAGCAATTAAAAGTTAAAACTAACGGGTCATTGGAGAATCCATTGATAATATGTGATAGGCCAAAATATTGTGTCATAGAACCACTATCGTGTGAAAGAGAAAAGAGGTTCTAGACTAGGATCTCCGGTTGACAAATATTTTTGAATCCTAATCAATTAAGTTTGACTCAATTCAAGGTTTGTTCAAACCAATTCAAATCTTGAGGTTTGATTTATGCTTGAAGTATGTTCCAATATGGGGTCAAATAATGTTCAAATTCCAATATGTTTAACACATTCAATATACTTTGACTTACAAAGCATCCATTAATACGAGAGTTTATTCCTTATGAGATGATTTTGCCCAGAATGAATTGCCAGGTATATTTACCGAAGAACATAAATAACGGTTTTTTAATTTACATTATTACAGGGCATATGAAATTAAATTTTCCTCATAAAACTCAAAGAAAATTTTGGTACACTAGTGGAAATTTGCAACTGGGCGAGCCCCCGTGGTTTTTCCCATTTTTGGGTTTTCCACGTAAAAACTCTTGGTGTTCATTCTTTTTTTTCTGCTTGTGTGTTAAACTTACGTACAACGCTCAGACGCGAATTTACAAACTCTACCGCCGCGTATTTTCTAACACGCAACAATAATATTCATCCATTAATAGAGAAGTATGGATAATTAAAATAACTTTTCTTTATCAGCCCTCCTAATATCTCTTAAATTTGTTATATGCTCGATGAAAAAAATGCAAAAGTTTAGGCACAGCCATAAAATAATCTAATATTAAAAATTGATTATATATGTCTATAATGTTCGAAATTTGAGAGATACACATATTATTTCTTTTGTTTGGAAAATAAATTTGAAAGCACATTTTTGGGACCAATGCATCCATCTACCATCTTTTCTATTCACGAACGTTCTGTTTTGTTTTCATGAACAACTTATTCAAACCAATCATAAGAAAAAAATATTCAAATTTAAACCTTAATTTGAAGTTGATTCAAATACGTTCGAACTGATTCTCGAACCCAAGTCAACAAAGTTTTTTTTTTTTTTTTGATAAAACCCACAGCAAGGGTCTGCGTGTTAATGAAAATAAATATTAGAAGTTTTTAATGAATCCAAATCCCTCTAAAAAATACATCATTTTAAGGAAAATCTAGAAGCATTTGATTCAATCTAGTTACAATAAACAAGCAAAAGAAAAGCCAGCAAGACAAAAGCCAGAACCACAAAGCGAGACACCCGAGAGAGGGAATCAAGAAAAGTCCAAAGCCAACACCTTGAGAGACCATCAAAACATCAACCCAATAACCAAATCCAAGCAAAGCAGCACCTAACCAGCAACAACCTTCAGTAACTCACCTCAGCACATCACCCACAAATCACAACCGCTATAGAGGCTCTAATGAGCAAAAGAATGAAACTACAACAAGAATAGGAAACAATCCACAATAGGGAAGAAACACAATAACAAGGCCCAAAACCTAGAGAACACAACACCAATATCAAACAAAGAACAACAACAACAAACACACAAAATTCAAAGCTCCAAAGCAGCCAAGAAAAAACCAAAAGGACAGCCCCCGCAAAGCCTCACACCAAAGGACCCAAAATCAAACCAGCACAACCTGAATCAGACCACAACCCATGTGACACCCCAAGATCTAACTTGGAAGAATTATTCAGTCAATCCTTTAATTCAATCTTCTACCAGAGCTATCTATAGTCATCAATTAGTAATAAACAGTCTAACAAAATCTATAATTTAAAATATCAATGTACATATTTTTATTAATTCCCAAAAGTTCATTTACAATATTCAGGATCTACACATATAATTCATCATGTTCTGATTACAAAAAGAATCACTATAACAAAAGGACAAAAACCTGAAGATTCCTGGTCAACCTCAATCTCCTGCTCCCTTGCCCTGACCTAAAAAATATTAATCACATATAATGAGCTTCAAAAAGCCCAGCAGAGCACCAAATACCTACAACTGAAATTGAAGCACGGTACGGAAGCAATATGCATGTCAATCAGTCAAAGCATAGGAGTCACTTACATATGATCATTGAGTCAATACATAAATAGAAATCAATGCATACGCAGTAATCAGTACAATAACATAAATCAATACATGAACGTGTGAAGCCATCATTATCAGTGGAAAAATCAATAAATAGTATAAAAGTTCGTAAAGCTCAATGAACCAATACGTGTATCAAATCTCTATAGTAGTCGTCGTATCTATAACACCAGTCAATTCAGTAGCCAAATCATCGTATCTAAAATCTCAGTCAAATCATAAAAAAAATCTTCGTATCGATAATACCAATCAAATTAGTCAATAAATCATCATGTCAATAATATCAATCGTATAAAGAGAATTCATCGGTTCAATAATGTCAGAACGTTAAATCAATACTATCGTTCATGACTGTTAAAACCAAATCAATGAAATAAAATCATAACATCGTTTGAAATTGTTGGAATCAATTAATGCCGTGTCACTTACACATTATATCACGTGCATAATGTCAGTATAGTGAATCAATAGTATCATTGCCTATATCAGTATCAGTAACAATCCAGTGACATGAACAGTAATGCTATAATAGTAAAAGTATGCATAAATATTAAATCCGTATAATATCGATAAAACCGTACAGTAATATATTCATTCAGTATCAAGAAATACGTCAGTATCGGTAAATTCATACAATAGCAGTAACAATACTGCTGAACATGCAATTCAGTACAGTAGTCATACAGAGCAAGTAGAAGCAATGGCTATTAAGATGTTTTTCAGTCTTGTATCAATATCAGTATCTTCTATCTTGTATCTGTTGGCTCAGTGAAAAGAGTCGTCACTCTTTGCCTATCAGCACAATAATCATCTCCTTATAACTCCCTTCAGTCATCACGTGATCAGTAGACGATAACACCAAACCCTTTTTAAAGGAAAGCCCGTCGGCCCACCATCCTGTACAAGTCAATCAGTCTCCAACCAACGATTCAACCAGTCTTTACTGATCGTCCTGGACGGTTCCCAGGACTATTTTTCGGCCGATATTTTCTACAGTGCCAATCGGCCTGGCCGAAGTCCTAGATCAGCCTGGACGATGCCTACAGGAAATCACCTGGAACAAATCTGGGCAAATTCTGGGGCAAATTCTCAACCGATCGTCCCAGGACGATCCTGGAGCAGATTTTAATATTACACACAGTACACAATAGTATCAATAATTTCAATCATATAACCATATTCATCATTATATTATCAACACATTGCAACCAATAAACATGACTTAGCTCAATTTAGAAAACCTCTTAAAATATTGTATGGTTGACAGAAGTCGGTGTAAATTGCACAGTTCCATAAATTTACCAAATTACTAGAAATCGTGTAAAACAATGTTTCAAAACTTGTACTGAATCAATATTTTTCAATATCCGGATAATTTTATATTCGATAAAAATCACACAGAATTCAAAATATTAGGTGAAAACTTTCTAGAAAATACTCAAATCATGCAAAATCATTATTTCTATAACATACCAAAAGTTACGCGGTAAAAGTTTCATCAATACAAAGATATGCACATTTTTTATAACAGAAATACAAAACTTAGCAGAAAAATACCAGAACACAAAATCTTTGAAATCAAAAATAGGATTCGGATTCCTTGCTGCGAGACAAACAATTCTTCCAACTACGTTGACGGACAAAAATTGCTCCGCGGCCTCCGAAACCAAGCTTTTTTCCTTCCTTTTCCTTATCTTTCTCTCTCCTATTTCTCTCTCTTCAAAATATCTCAAATCAGATATTTATAAAAAAATTAGATCGTCCTGGACGATTCCTATTCGTTGCGGGACGACTTGCCCTCTAGAAAAATTTCGTCCCGACGAATTCAGTTTCGTACGGACGAACTTTGGTTCGTACAGGCAGTTCGTACGTACTAACCATACAAAATTTCACAATTTTCTTCAATTCGTCCCATACTAAAGTCAGTTCGTACGGACTAATTACAGCACTCAAAAAAATTGAAAATTTAAGGAGTTTTACAACCCAACCCACCTAAAGCATACCAAAGAAACAAACAACCCTAGCAAACTGAAACCTATCACAGGGACAGAAAAGCCACAAGCCAAAATAACATAACTAAAAAATAAATTCAGCCAAAGACAAAACATCACCAGAGAATTACTTCGTTTTAGCTTTCTTTTCATTTTTCTACCTACTTCATTTAGCTCCACCATTTCTGAAAGCATCAACTTCGATACAAATCATATTCAAACCAAACAAAGCTTGAAAATCATCCATAAGTTCAACCTTATCATCCCCATAACCCGACTAGCGAAGGATGCACA